TGAATTTTGAATTAGGTTTTCAGTTTTCAAATATAGGAATCAACATTTAATAAGGTGGATTTCTAAATTTTAAATTGGACTTTAATTAAATGTATGTGAGAAAAAGAAATAGAACTTGCAATTGAATGACCAGTCATAATCAACCGAGACTAATTCTTAAGCCAAGTAGTTGCTTTTCCAGCATATAGAGAAGGAAGCCAGTGGGTCGTATAGACAAAGCTTTTTATAAGAAAGGTTGACTCTTTAAGATTGGGACTCTAAATTTTTTTGAGTCAAGACTACTATGCAATATATATATATATATATATATATATGAGTTAGGATCCGCTTATGCACAAGTCTTACACACCACACTTACATAACATCTTAACCATTTATTTCTCCACTTTCAATGGTTGAGATTTATTAACTTTTTATTATTAAAGATTATTATCTTTTTATCCATGATAAATCTCAACCATTAGAAGTGAAGATGGTCAAAATTTTGTGTAAGTGGTGTGTAAAACTTGTGTGTAAATGGATCCCTACTCTATATATTTATATTCAGGTACTTCAAGCATTAGATACGAAGACAGATCTACACCATGTTATGCTCAATTAGTGAAAGAGGCATTGTGTACGTACCGACCACCATACATCTCTTCCTTCCTGCCAATTAGTGCTTTCCCTCTTCATGGCTGATTGGTTTTCATAGGTTAAGCATACATCTGCTCAGACGATGAGGAAAAAAAAAGATACCTTCATTGATTAGATAAGAGATTAATTTAAATCAATCGTGCTGAATGATGTGATCACTTGCCACGGTGAAACTGTGCTTTAAAGCAGAAAGCAAGGTGCATTTGGAATAAAAGTTGCAAGGAAACTTAAATCCGAGGTGACTATTAACCTGGTTAATTCCTAACAAAGCACAATGTGCACAGCCAGTGCTTTAACCTGGGCTTATGTTCAGTTAATTGGTATGCACCTTGGATCAGGTGATAAAAACTAAAAAAGCACTGATAACAAGGAAAGACTAGCATCCACAATTTCCTAGCTAAAGAAAATCAACGCATAATGAACTTAAATTTAGATATACATATCATTCTCAAATGTGGGAGGAAAAAAAAGATACTGTGCTCAAATCAGAATATCTACTATGACTTAGATTTTACCAACCTACTGAGATCCCAGTCTTGGCAGATTGAATGAGGGCAGCATCAACAATTTCTTTAAGGTGGATGATCTTGGGACCCCTTTTAACAGCATTGCAAGTAATGACAGCTTTTGGTTTGCAATCCACAATTCGCTGAGCAAGAGATTCGGCAGAAAATCCGGCAAACACAACCTGGGGGAGGACTATTTATTGAGAAACAATGAAGAGCAGAGGAGTTAAAATTAAGTAGCGAGATGTGTTTAGTTTGGGTGGGTGAGTACCGAGTGAACAGCACCAATTCGGGCACAAGCAAGCATAGCAATGGGAAGTTCCATTAGCATAGGCAAATAAATGACAACAGCATCACCCCTTTTAACACCAATATCTTTCAAGTAATTTGCGAGCTGCAGACAAGCAAGATGCATAAAAAAAAAAAATGAGGAGGATTGAAGCATAAAGGCAGGCGTGAAATGAATGAAGCCATAAATTAAAAAACCTGGCAAACTCTGTGGAGCAGCTGGGAGTAAGTCAAAGTGTCATCAAAGCCAGGCTCATTTCCTTCCCAGTAAAGGGCGATTTTGTCACCGAGGCCAGCTTCTATGTTTCTATCAACACAATTGTAGCAAATGTTGGTGATACCACCTTTGAACCACTGTCCAGTGCAGTAGTAGTAAAGTAAACATAAGCCACAACAGCTTATTGGCATTATTATATTTTCAGGGGCTTATTGTAATTTTAATAATGAAGTATAATTAAGAAAGGCAGAATAAATGCAAACCTCAATCTTGATAGGGCCTTTCCGAATATCCAGATTATCGGAATAGACCTGTTCTGGCCATTTCTGCTTCCAGTAGAACTGAGACGCAATATCGGACCAGAATCCGGCAGGATCCTGAATGGATCTCATGTACATCTCCAAGTACTGATTTTCCCCAACACCAAACACCAACAGGAAATTAGAATCAGGAAATGAGATTTCTCCAACAAAAATTATTCTGTATTTAGGAATAAAAAAGGCTCAGCTCAACCTTTTGATGAGAAGGAACGAGGGCCTGGCTGGAGAACTGTTGGCTGGGTAAAACGAGATCGGCTTCCTCAGATGCAGAAGCTTCCCCCAAGACGACAGCATTCAAGTGAGAAATCTTTCGGGGCCCCGAAGGCAAATTGGTAATGAAATCCACATGCCTCAAGTGATTGGAGGAGGTGATGAGATTGCTGCCGCCGATGGATGCCATGACGGCGGCGGCTGTGACAACCGATCGAGGAGAGGAGGAAGAGGGGAAAATGAGGAACTGATTGAGCCGTGAGCGATCCGCAGAAGCTGCTGCTGCTCTATTATCATCATATTTGTTATTATTGTGGCAAAGGAAGCCAACAACCACGTTCTGCCTAACCTTCATCATCATTTTTCTTTTTCTTTTTTTTTACTTCGAAATTGAATTCTACAATGGGCAAACAAAGAAAAAAATAAAAAGAATTAAAATGAAAATTGGACGTTGCTTAAATTGTTATGACATCCAGACACAGAGGAAACACGATGCCGAGGTATGTATGGCTTCTCTTCTCTGGATAAAATGTAGTTTTCAAGAGGAAAGGAACTAATCAGCTAATTTTATCCTTAAAAAATGAAGTCTAAAACTGAAGATAAAATAAAATATTTATGCTCTTATTGATTTGCCGATGTTTACGATGCCATCATAACTAGACACGCTACAACTAGCGCATATTCGGTGCGGTTTATTGAAGTTTTTATTTTTTATTATTATTTATAAGTAATTTAAATTTTTATTAAAAAAAATTT